AAATTAGAAACAAAGATATTCCTTATTACTGAATACACTACCTTAAGAAGTCCTTTTCTGGCTTAGGTTCTCATCAAAATCAACTAGAATGTTAAACGGGCTAATTTAAGGTGGTGAAAAACTATCAGGAAAATTCCTCTTGCTTGTTTCGTGTGTTCTATAATATCCAAAACATTTGGGTAAGAATTTATATTGGTTTTGTTAATTCTTGTAGGACTGTTTTCAGTCAGCCAATACTAAATAGACATTCAGTAGCAATAGAAGGATAGTTTTTAGTTAAATTTTAGAGGCGATTCTTTTTTGGGTAGTAATGTAATGGTTTCCTTGATACTTTGAAAGATCTGGTTATGTCATCAGGCTTGGGCTCTTAGGAGACTCATTGGCATCCTTCAGTCTCAAGAGACTGGTATCATGCTCTGGAAAGAGGTCCTAAAACAGCATCTAGTGTGACAAAAAAGGCCAATTTGAGAGTGGCAATCCCTTCCACACTGAGGGCAGATACATTCTGGCCCTGGCCCTGATGCTATACCCCCTGATTTGCTAAAATCTAATCCCGAATGGTGGATTCCTCTTTTAGAAACACTCTTCACCCATATTAATACCTCTGGCAGGATCCCTACCTCCTGGAGTCTAGCAATCATTCCTGTTTTTAAACGAGGAAATAGGAACAACCCAGCCGATTATCGTCCTATAAGTCTGCTCTCCATCATTGGAAAATTGTATGCTAAATATCTCCAACGCAGACTCCTCACCTGGGTTGAGGAATCCAACATCATTGGTGTTGAACAGACTGGGTTTAAAGTGGGCTGTGCCACATTGGACCACTGCTTTGTCCTAGTGCACCTGGTTGATAAATACGCTACCATGCCAGGTGGTAAACTTTTTACTGCTTTTATTGATCTAAAGGCAGCGTTTGATTCAATCCCAAGGGAATTGTTGTGGTCAAAATTGCTCAAAAGTTCCATTGATGGATGTCTTCTGTTCTTAATTAGATCCCTACATAATCAGACTTTTAGTCAGGTCAGGTGCGATTTGCAGGGAGAACTCTCAAGTCCTATCCTGATAAAGAGCGGAGTAAGGCAGGGCTGTGTCCTGGCTCCTCTTCTGTTTAACTTATTCTTATCTGACCTCTTACATTGGACGTACTGAGTCCCACGCCCCAAAGTTGTCAACTACAAAGATCCTGCTTCTCCTTTATGCTGATGATGCGGTCCTCCTATCACTGTCAAGGCTTGGTCTGAAAAGGCTACTTTCTGCATTTGGGTCCTACTGCGCTGAGAACCACTTGTTCATTAATTATGATAAATCAAAAGTATTGGTGTTCTCTAGAGCCCAGAAGCTATACAACTGGGCTATTAAGGGTAATGCTGTTAAGCAGGTTCTCCATTTTAAGTATTTAGGTATCCATTTTCAGAACACCGGTGCTTGGACTAGACATTGAACTCAGGTGCTGAATTCGGCCTCCTGTAGCCATCAGCAAATTCTAAGATTTTTCTATACTCAAGGAGGCCAGTTTATTCCTTCTGCTCTGCGTATTTACAAAGCCAAAACCCTGGCCCAAACTACGGAATTCCTATATGGATACGGGGCTTCAAGGAGTGTATTGAAAGAACTCAAGCTGTTTTTTTAAGGAAACTTTTGGGTCTCCCTCCCTGTGTTGGCTTTGCTTCGATGTACCTGGAATTGGGCATTCAATCAGTCAAATGCATGGCATGGATTAACGCCTTTAAATGGTGGTTTCGGGCGCTCTTTTTGGCAGCCTCTGGTAGCTACCTCTCCTTGGTGTTAGCTGACTCCTATACTTCTCGATGGGAGAGGGAGCTGACGAAGAAACTCCACCTGCTAGGTTTTTCGGGGGATGCATTGAGAGACTATGGCCTTAAGGACGCCCAATCTAGGGTAATCCAACGGTTTGTGGACATAGACTTGCAATATCTAAGAGCTAGAGCTAATAAAACCTGCTCCCCTCTGATCTTCAGCCAATTTAACAATTACGGACTGAGGATGGCCTCATATTTTTACACTTTAACCATCCCTAAGTATAGAAGAGTCTTCTTCCTTGCTCGTTTCAACGTCTTGCCCTCAGCATTGCTGGACGGATGATTTAAGAGGCTCCCGATAAGTGAGCGGTTATGCCCCTGTGATAGAGCTGAGGTTGAAACCGTGGAGCATGTTCTTTTATACTGCCCTATGTATAATGCAGGCAGGACTAAATTACTGTGTTTCTTAGAAATAGATCTCTCTGGATCCAATGCTAGTAATTTGACCTTATATTGTTTAGGGGATGGCTCCTCACACATTACTTTTCAGGTTTCTAAATTTTTTTTTAAGAGCTGTAACTATTAGAGAACGCTGTAATTCTTCTCAGTCAAGGCTTCTGGTAGCCAACTGTTTATGATGTTACTTTCCCCACATTCTTTTGCAATTATTTTTGTATTTTGGTCTGTGACCGCAAATAAAAAGTTATTATTATTACATTCTGTCCCCTGCCCAGTCCCCAGATTTCGCTGGTTCCGGGACTGCCTCTTTGCCTCAGCCTACTGAACAAGTGTCTCTTCGAATTGGAGAAGGCCATGCTGCGTCTTTAGGAGTCTTTAGGAGACTGGCGACATGCTTATATAGTTCCATTACTTGAGGTAACCATTCTCCCATCACCTAGAGCGGCGATGGCGAACCTATGGCACGCGGAGCCATATTAGTGGGCATGTGAGCGTTGCCCTAGCTCAGCTCCAGCATGCATGCACACGCTGGGCAGCTGATTTTCGGGACTTCTGGGCCCACCAGAAGTCGGCAAATGGGCTGTTTCCAGCCTCTGGAGGGCCTTGGGGGGGGGATGCTGTTTTCGCCCTCCCCAGGCTCCTAGAAAGCCTCTGGAGCCTGGAGAGGGTGAAAAACGGGCCTACCGGGTCCACGGGTCCACCATGCCAACACATGCCAAAAACGGGGTCACGTGCACATGCACAGGGTGCAGGGCACATAGTTATGGGTGTGGGCACGCACGCGACCACCCCGTACTCTTCCCGCTTTTGGCACGCGATGGCAAAAAGGTTAGGCATCATTGACTAACTCTGACTAATTCTGTTTTTTTTACAGAATTCATACACATTTTTATGCTTTTATGCTATTGTGTGCCACCCAGAGTTGCCTTTGATGAGATGAGTGGCTATATACGTTTTGTAAGTAAAAAATGTCAGGACAAAACACATTTTTTTTGTAGTTAACAGGTTTTGGCTGCAATAATCCGATTGCGCTCCACAATGATATACAGGACAATTAGAACAAGTATGTACTTAGCTCCATTTTTCCCCTGAGCAATTCCAGCATGAAGTACACAGTGGCCCATTCTTGATCTTTCAGCACCTGTCTGTTGCTGTCACTAATAAAAGATTAGCTCAAATGTCTTAATGGTATCTTGGCAATATAGAACAAGCCCCCAGTGTAACATTTGCTTCCCATTCAGCTTCTGCTTTTAAAATATGTGCTTTATTTCACTTTGGTTTCTGCTAAAGTACAAGTTTGTAAGCTTTAAATGTTTAAACATTAAGGAATAGGCTTCTACCTGTTCCCTACCTTATCTCAATCATGATCACTGTTACTGCTTTTTTTCTGCACTCCCCCAAAACTACTACTTCATGCTACAGTATAAGTGGAACAAAATGTTTTTCTGCAAATGGATCAAAATATAAAAAATGCAGATTAACAGGACAAGCTTTATATGCTCAGGATGCCTAGAACATTTTGTACAACCTTATCCAATATTTAACATCAAAGTTAGAAATTCAGTTTGGTTTAAAGCACAGGTTGAACTTACCAGTTATTTTGATCCACAAGCAAATGTGGAATGTCATTCTTTCTAACCATAGTAAACTTTAATCAGTTTATGAACAACATAAATTGACTACCATTTAAGCAATTTTGTATTTGTTAAGTTTTAATGTATAAATGATTGATAGATGATTGGTAATAATTTATTTAACCAATAATTTTGAGATGGTTTTAAGTCTTTCAAACAATTCAGACTGTTCCTACCACTGTCTTGTTAACAATTAGCTTCACTACATTGTAATCACTAAATGCTAATGCTAATTGTAGATAACAGCTAATTGTGTAATTAAATAAAAAGCTATAAAAATAAAAAATTAAATGAAAAGCTAACTGTTAATATTTGTTAAATATTAAAATATCCAAATAAAGTTCTGTTCCTTTACAGTGTATTAGGCAGCAACTGAGAAACAGTGCCTCCTGGCCTGTTTTTCAGATGTTTGAGGCTGGGGCTATTTTGTTCCAAACATGAACTGAATTGAAATTGATTCTGGCAGAGCTGGTTTAGGAGGTGGGGTGGGAGTGGGCAAAGGGTATTGGCAGTGGTTGGGGGAAGAAGAGACTTCTTATGAATCATGACTTGTGGCTGACAAATATTAAAATATACCAGCATCTTTCATGCACGTGCTCAGCTACAAACTCATCACTGTGGCCTAACATGATCGAATAATTTACCTATCTGGATAACGTAGGATAGTACGTTAGGGAAACCTATACAATTAGGTTAATTTTACCACAGAAATGCACGTTCAGCTAATAAAATATGAAAATGTGCTCCTTCCGGCAAAATGGAATAATTTCAGCCACCCAGTGTCACTGAGTTGGGCAGCTTTATTATTTTTTAAAATAAATAAAAGTTAAAGACTTGCTTTATATGATTTGAAAAGTAGAATAGTTTATTCCACAATTATACTCTTTTGAAAAGAATAAATAGGAGACACCATTCTTACAGCTTTTTTTCAGGATTATAACTTCAAATATGAGTATGTTTGCCCAACATACTAACCGTTAACAGTAACCTTGTCAACTACTGTGGTCTGCTTAATGTATATAGTTGCCTCGATTCATCCAGTACACTGAACTACAAATTAACTAAACTGGTTGGGTTTCGCAAGACACATGCCACTGTGTAGCCAACTCTATGTAAATCTGGAGTATTGTGCACTTTCAGGCAGAAGTATTTTCAAACATGACTTTATTCTGAGTTATGACTTTGGGCTGGCCACTTTCTCTCAGCCCAGACTACATCACGCAATTGTAGTGGAGAAAACAGAAGGAGGAAGGTGTGGATATGTTCACCATCTTGAATTATTCGTAAAAATATTAAAGGTGTGGTGCAAACAAGTAACTGATACCCACATCCTACTAGTGAAAAAGAAGTACAATGGATGATACATATTATAATTAGCTTAATGCTAGTAATGAGTAAGGGATGAAAAAAAATCATGTTTCAGTGTGTTTGCATGATTTTAGTAAATGCACAAATTACTGTTCTTATGTAGTAACTGCAGTTATGAAATCATGCATAATTTTACCACTATAAATATTGCATCAATATGAATTTTCCAACCACTGATTAACATTTGATTATCTCTTTGACCCACTCTTGTTCCTGTATAGAATTCTTTTAATTTTTCTTATCGTTATCTGCTTGGTTCTAAAAATGATATAATATTCTTAGGTTATTTATTTCTGGTACTTCACAAACAATTTTTTCCTGAACAGTCTGGTGTAATTGGTCATTATATTTCTATAAAAGTTTTTTACATTTATTAAAGAAATGACAAGTGATACATTGAATAAACTCAAAAACACTTGTACAGTAACTAACAATATGGTAGGAAATTATACAAACTACATTTTGAGAAGATAAGAGTGTTGCAGGGGTATCCTTTTCCTAAAAGGTATCACAAAAAAGTGACTTATTATACTTGCATCTTAAGTATAGCAAAAATAACTCTGATATCTTTGTGGAAGCACTTCAAATGCCTATAACTGATTGTTTATACGTTGTAAATGACCTAAAAATATTTGGTTATGAATTAAATCAAGTTTTCACATTACTACTCAGAAGTATAATTGTTAGTTTGTTGCAGCAAAACTTTGTACAATAAAGCACATACTTTCAGCTCTGATATTGCAATATGAAATCCAAATTCTCTGTTCCATATGTATAGAAATAACTTTTTAAACTTAATTTACTCCTAACAAATGTGGCAAAAGATTGTTTTGTCTGGTTCAAGGTAGATATTTTTTCTAGCAAAGAGTCAAAAGATAATCTTGAGAGTCATATGTCCAAACTCAGCATCAAAGATCTGGATTCTCCACTCTGGGCACAAACCGTCATTCCATATGAAGTGCAACAACTGAGCAGATCATATGTAGAAATACTGTAATCTTATAATAGACGTAATTCCCAACCACAATAATACTGGCAAGCATTTGCTCACTGATGCTGATATTTTTAGCAATGATGGACAGGTTATTTTTGTCAAATTGTTCCAACTCTTCCAAAATACTCTCTCTCAAATCTCTGGAAGTCTTTCTCCGTGAAGACAGTTCCTTCTGGCTTCTTCTTCTTCACTTTTTCTACAGGGTGGTCTTTAGCTTTCCTCCCTCTATTTTGGGTTAAAATCTACAGAAATAATGCAAAGGAAAATAGTGTCTCAATATCTTTATATATATATAATATATACATATGTATATATTATATACATATATATGTAATTAGTAATCAGTAGTATAATAAACCTTCCAAGTTTAACCAAACTTAAAAAGAGTATTTTATTAAATTGGTGTTTAGGACTGCATACAGGTATGCAATCCTAAACACCGCTCAAGGATTGTTATTTGTTGGAGCATTTGAAAACAGCTTTTTATCTGGAGTCACAGAGGTATTCACTTTAAGGTACTTCCAACAGATGCTATATGTATGCCCATATAGACTGTGAATTACAATTTGTGCTTTGAATCGCACAGCACTAATTTCAAATAATTCAATTTGAAAACTCAAGATCTAAAATATTTGGCAAGGACATTAGAAAAAATTGGAAATAGAGACATGAGAAACATTATATTGAGAAACAAGCTCCCTTCTCCAGAAACCATCAATTGTATATAAATAGAATTGTCTTCTTTTTCTTTTATTTCTAATAACATTTTCTCTCCCCAAATAAACAAGTGACATACAAACTGACCTTTTCAGTAATTGTACTGTCTGCCACAAAATGAGTACCCATCATATACTGCATGTTCTTCTTAAAGTGGTCAGCTGCTTGATGTTTCTGATATTCCTCTGGAAAAAACAAAATAATAAGAATAAGAAAGCATGTAGATAAAATTCAGGAGGAAATAAATTCATATTTGTCTTTAGGGAGTTAGTACTGCAATTGTAAGCCTGATTCATCCTGCTTGCCTTATGTTTTAATTTGATTTTTTGCAGCCACTATTTTGGAGATATCAAATTGCATCAAGGTATATGTGAATTTTCACATGCAGTAAATGAGATGATAAAGCAAAAAACAAAACAAAACCTTTTTTCCTAAGGGAGTTTGTTGACATGACAAAATCAGTGGAAGGTTTTATACTTATCTCCTTTTTGAGACAACAGAAAATATGACCATAGAATAGTCATCAATGCATTTTATTATTGTTTTCAGTTATAGAGAAAAGCTGTGTACAGCATAAGACTTCAAGAAGTTTTGTATGCAATAGTCTGCAACCTGGTTGTCTCTAAGTAAGCTCAAATATAAATCACAAAATATAGCTCTGTTGGCTGAGGAACACGAGAGCTATAATCAAAAACATGACCTCCAAGTTGTGGGTAACTACTCCAAAACATGCTTTCAGCTTATGTGGATTGTAGGTCAAACTTTGGGGTTTTCTTGTTGAATTACCGTAAATGAATAAAGAATGCACTTTGGAGCATGGTCAAACCTATTATGGTACATTTGTGGGAGAGCAGGAAATAATTGAATCAGCAAATGAGGTGATAAGATATAAGCATGAGAAAATCAGCAACTGCTCAGGGAATAGCAGGAAAAGAAGGAACTGGAAGTTCAGAGAGCAGGAAGTTTGGTACTATGTCCCACACTTGGGCACTGATACTTCTGAAAGGAAGAAGAAATGAAATGCAAAGATTGGGCATGGGCAGATGAATAGACCATATCACACTGGTGGATCCTGAAGGGAGAATAGAAGGAAGCATCTTCACTGTCCCTGCCACTTCCTCATTCTCTTCTCCCTTGCATCTATCTACACCATGTTCAATTACTGCTGTCTGGAATAGATCTATTTTGTTCTGTGCCTCGACCAATACATATAACACATACAAGTTTCAGCTTGGGCACAGACCACACCACTTCAATTATAAAAAGATAAGATGAAAATATCATCATCACCATCATCAAGCTATGACATGCAGGGGCTCTGCCTTTAGAACACATTTTTTTCAACACAATAATGCATGAGTTTATTATTTATTTTTAATCACTTGGGAAGAAGCATATATTGTCATTTTTTAAAGCATGTATATTGTTTGAAATTATAAGTTATCTTGAATGGGATATGAAAGGACATATATAAAGTAGGTAAAAATATAGTTGCACTAATAGGAAAAAATAATGTTATGCTACAACTCTCATGCATGTCACTCATATGTCTCTGTGCATAAGACTGTATACAAAGGTTTTAAATTGACATCAGTTGAGTAAAGATGTTTCTGTTTCGCTTAAATATAGAATGGAAATTTCCATGAAACTTCCACGCAATGTTATGCATTTATTGTTTAACTGCAAAATGCAAGTAGAGCTCAAAAATTTGCACTAGTTAGGCGCAACCAAAAGCAATAGCACTTAGACATATATACAGGACAGGTTCACAGTGCTTTACAGCTCTCTCTCAGCGGTTTCCAGAGTCAGCATATTACCCCCAACCATCTGGGTCATTTTACTTCCCCCTCGGAAGGATGGAAGGCTTGACTCAACCAATAAATTCGATGAGGGTCGCCCACTTGGTCGTCATTCTCCATCTTCCCCCTACTCACCTAATGCAGATTTGATAATTCTTCCTTTGATTGTGGCCTTGTCTCTTTTGGACCTTGAACGCTTGTTTTTCTTCTTTTTCAACAGATTATTGGGTCGGGCGGCGGTCCCTGATCTTTGAGAGGAGGAGTCGGACACTATTTATCAGAAGAAAAAATAGAAGGATTATTTATCTTAAAGAGATTATTTAGCCTTTTTCTCCTTTGGCCACCCTGCAGCCCTCGGTTACCTCCCGCCGTCTCCAGTAGTTCCAGTCCCTTTCTTAGCAGGGAAGCCGACATTTCCACCTCTCTCCAGACACGTGAATTATCTCGAACTTCCTTTCTGTTTCAGCTCTATGGTCTTTTCATGATTATGCTACTTCCGAGTGCAGGGTTTTTTTGCCACTCTTCCTTTGACCCACTTCGCTTTACCTTGCTTAAAATCGCCACACTTCCGGTGTCATTCATTCCCAGTGGACGGGTTAGTCGTTTTTTAGGTCTTCAAACTTGGCAGCTTTAAGACTTGTGGACTTCAATTCCCAGAATTCTCTATGCTGGCTGGAGAATTCTGGGAGTTGAAGTCCACAAGTCTTAAACGCTGCCAAGTTTGAAGACCTCTGGGTTAGTGTCTACAGCGGTTTGAAAAAAGGAAGAAGAAAATGATGTATTTGTAAGAAGGCGAAGGAAGGAGAAATTGTATCTCATTTCGGAAGCTAGCAATGTGTTCTGATCTTTCATTCTGATCTACAAATTTTGTTGCTACGTAATCGCTTCGGTTCTAAGTGACGTAAGACAACTACTAGCAATCAACAACTTTTATAAAATATAAAACAGCCTACTAAACATTTAATAGGTTATTAAAATGTATCGCTTTAAACGTGTGTACTCTGAAAGCAAAAATATTAGGAGACCAGGACCTGAACTGCAGTATCATCTGAATTTAAAGTGTCAGAAACACATGCTATAGAATTAAATGGGATTTAGTAGAAACAACTGAGGGCAGGTACTAGGAATTCAGCTCTATCGAACATAAAGGATTTTGTTCTGAATAGTGTTACACTTTCCTTCATATGTTAATGGATTTTTAAAAATTACCCCGAGTCACTTTCAGGGGTAATTTTTAAAAATCCATTAACATATGAAGGACTCTTAAAGATGAGTTTTGCCATTCATTAAATGTATTCCTGAAATGAAGTTTTATGGATTTGTTTAAGATAAGAGATGGGATATAAAGATCATTTCATTTTAAGAGATGGTGAATTCTTTGAGAAAGTTATTAAAATTGTTGCTTGCTATGATGAAGAGGAAAATTATTTTATATATTTATTATTTTTCTTTTTAACACCTATTTGCTCTTTTATTATTATTATGTATTAGTTTTTACTGCTGTAATCTTTAATTAAAAATACTACAAAAAATGAAGTATAAAGGCAACTTGGTGCCGATTCTCATTCTACCCTATTATATTTCACATTACAGACTGGTTCCTTCTTTTTATTCCTGATAGACTTCAATTATCCTCTCATTCTTATTGTCACTCTTGATTCCTCATACAGCATGAAATTAATCAAGATAAAAGATAGAAACATCTAGATTCATGGCATATATTTATTTATTTGGAATTTATATAGCTGACCAACTTGAATAATTGCAATCCTGGATAGTATGCAATCAATAACAATGAAAGAAACAGCAAAGAAGCCATATGGTTAAAAATAGCAACAGAAATTGGTAAGAAACCTGGAACACCAAATTTACCTTAGATCCTCCAGGTGAGGATGCTAATCAATTTGGTCTCAGTGCCCAAGAAAAAAAGACACTGTTTTTCTGAAGGCAACATATATTGGTTAAAGGGGAGGCCGTTCTAAAGGCTAGGCAGTGTCTAGTGGTTAAGGCACCTGGCTAGAAAGCAGGAGGCTATGAGTTCCTGCCTTAGCTGTGAAAGCCAGCTAGGTGACCAATCACTGTCAGCCCAACCCACTTCACAGCGTGGTGGTTGTGTGGAAAATAGAAGGAAGATGTGTTGTATATGTTTGCCGCCTTGAGTAATTTGTTAAAACAAAGCCAGATGCAAATAAAAAAGACATACCATATGAAGGCAAGGGACCACTGCAGCATTGCTATACTACTAGAATGAGCAGAGAGGCTCCCACAAATAACCCTGCTTCTGTCGTGTAGCTTTATAGGGGATAAACAGCACCTTGAATTGCACCTGGAAAACTTATTGGGAATAAATGCATATTGGAGAATAGTGGTATACAAGGTGTGCCCTTAATTGGCCATGCTGCTGCATTCTAGATAGTTAACAATTTATGGATTATCTTCAAAGGCACCCGTGCAACTGGTACAAAAGATAAAGTTGTGCGAAGACCTTCCTAGCCATAGCTGCAACCTGCTTTTTGAGCAGGAATTGTGACTCTCAAATTGCATATTAGATCTCCGTGAAGGTGTGCTCCCCACCCAGGCCAAAGATGGATAGTCTGCAGTCTTAAAGTTGGAAATGAGTTATTATTTAGATATACGATACCTGCCAACTCCATAGTAATCCTAATAAAGTCATAATAAAGTATTCTTTGGAAACATTCTCTTTGGAGAAGCAGATTTAAATGATTGCTTCAACAGAAAAGTTTTAAAATTAGTTTCAATTTTTAATCTTTACTATCTTTCTATAAAAACATGTTACACATTGAAACAGTAATTTACTGTAGAGGACAGGTAATGGATATAGCAAATTAATGCAATTTAAATTCATACAAGTTACAACTAGGACGCTTTCATAGACAGTTAAAGACAGTCACCATCACCCTCCTTATTTCAGTCTCTACTTCCTTCTCAGGCCAATTGGCACTCTTGACATGAAATTTGCACTAAATTGATAATTTCAATAGCCCTTGTCTTTATAATAGGAATGCTGGCATGATTGAGATATTTTCCCATTACATTTTCTATTCTTGAAGGAATCAAATTTATCTCAGCCTTGCCAACAGCAGACAGATCCATTTGTGCCAGCTCTTTTATTGACCAATGACTTTAAATTAACTTGTTATATAGTAGGTACTACATTTTTAGATATCGTGTAATTTTATCTGAATCAGCAGTTTTTTAATAACATTCTTGAAATTAAATTCAGTACTTGGAATTGCTGGCAAGTTCAATACTCTACTTATTTAGTTAAAAATCTTCACCTTATGTGAAAAGATTCTTGAGTTTGCATTTTTAGGGGCCTTCCTCCTGGCATTGCTTTCCTCTGTTTCATGAGGTAGAACAAAAATTTGCCAGTATACTTTGTGCTAACCTCATTGCTAAATCCTATTCTGCTTCAGCTGTGGGACCAGTGATTGGTGCTGCCCTCAGAGACTAAATATGAGACAACTGAGGGAACAAGACTGAGGAATTCCTCCAACTACCAGCTATTCTCCGTAAGGGAAGTGTCATATCCTGGGGCGGGGGCGCGCGGGGGGGGAAGGTGAAATTGCTTATGATGCCCTATTGCTTACTAGGGAGCATCCCTCTCTGTTCCCTCTTTTCTTACCAGACTCTGAGCCCTGGCAGTGTTCAGGGAGAGGTGACTGTTAATCACTACAGGTAGCCCTCAATTTATGACCATAGTTGAAATCGGAATTTTGGTTGCAATTGTTAAGTAAGTTATCACATGATCGATCAGACCTGATTATTTGCTTTCCACATCTACCCTCCTATTTCACCCCATGACCCTCATATGACTGCAAGGTATGGAAAGCCTGCCTGTTTTCCTCAGGCATTTGGACCAGATGGGTTAATTAGTTATTATTGATGGAGAGTGGGGTTATTGTTAATCTTTGGACATTAAGGGTTATGTGTGGTGGGTTTTTGAATTTCAATGTTGCAAGCCACCCAGAGTGACTTGTTAGATGGGCATCTATATAAATCAAATAAATGAAATAAAATTGGCATTGGCAGTCTTCCTGTAAATTGATATTCACAAATTAACTCTTGACCGACAGGTTGGTAGGATGGAACAGGCTGCAGTGTGGGTTGGGAGGTGGGAAACTCACAAGCCTTGATATCTATTCACTGTCAGATCTTCAATCACAAAAATCCACTAGGCATTGTTGCAAAAATGGCAGGGAAAAAAATCCAGCTGTTTGTGTTGCCATCCTAACATGGTGGGGGAAAAAAATCCCCTTCTGCTTAATTGCCATCCTAAATCCAGACTGCCAAGAAAAGTGTCAAGTGGCTAAATAGCTGCTTTGTTTCCCTTTTCTCTTGTCATAACTCTATATTGGCAGCCTGGCCAGCTATATCATGGAAAGCAGGAGTTGGGGAGAGGCAGCTTGGTTTCAAAGATCTGGCCACTCCTGCTGCCAGAAGGAGTGACCTTGAAGAAAATGTCTAGGGATCAAAAAGATGTGTTTCTGGCTGCCCATATCAGCCTCAAGGGGCCAACTGTAACTGAGCTAAACCTATCATCAGGAGCCCTGTTGTATGTAGGCATTGCAGTCAATTCAAACTGCGAGAATTGTTTTGGGACAAGAGAAAAAAAAATCACTTTAAAACTACACTCCGGTACATTCAGATGTAGATGCCTTCAGAGTTATCTGGCTATGAGTGGAAGATGACATCATGAAGATGCAGCTAGTGAGGCATGTTCATCCCATTGTTAGCATGATGGGAAGAAGCATTCTCAGTTTTTCTATTCAGATTTGGATCAGTGACCACAGAGCGGTCTTTTTTTTTGTTTCTCCCAGGTGATTTGTCTCAAACGTGGAAGTCAGTCAGTTTCTCATTACCTATGGTGACCAGATAGCCACATTTAACTAACTTTATCTGATACTGAGAAAAATAAGCAATGTCAAATCTTGTTATTATCTCAATAGGAGACTATTAGGAAATTCCAAATCTGTAGTCTAGAGTACAACTGTATTGTCACAAACACTGCACAGACCCAGCCATATAATCACTAAGCGCTTTGCTAGGGTTGAGAGAAAGGTTATCTTTTTTTCATCATCAATGAATTAGCCAAATCATTGGGTTTAACAATAATATGTCAGCTTTTTCAGAAGAAGTTGAAATACATATTTAAAGATTTTTGTGTATTTTTAGTGTAATATAAATAATGATGAATGCAATTTATCTACTTCAGAAGGATAGACTTAAAGAAATTAAGAAAATGTTTGCAAAGTTACTTTTTCATCACTGTTGTAACTGCAAGTGGTTGCTGAATGAGGCAGTTGCTTAATGAGGACTATCTGTTGTCCTTAAGAGAGACTTCTTCTGTAGCCCTATCAAAATGGATGGGAAGCAAGTAAGCATTCAGAAAAACTAGTCACATACTGCACTAAGCCATAATGATTGTTTGTTTGTGGAATGGTACATTAGAGCAAGGGTGTCAACCTCACGTCATCACG